TTATATGGTCAAGCACATGGCAAGTAGCAGGTTGGGTTTAGAAAGCACTATTAGTTTTTATGACCATGTAGAGCTAGTTAAGTAATTACATGGCTTGTGGTTGCATGGAGTATTTTTGAACCCTAGACTTCTGTCAAGATATAATAAAAGTAATGGTATAAAAAGCATAAAATTTAATTTGAACTACAACTGTCAGAACTGTGTGTTTGAATTAATTGAACAAATTGCCAAAACACAAATGTAGAATTTCTCTGAGATGAAGCTGCTTTAGGGGCACTCAGATCCCCTTAAATAAGTGATGACGATTTCTAAAAACATAGCAACAATTTGTTTAATTTCATACCGTTAAGCTTTGGACAAGGTGAGTATTAAGGCACTGTTTTCATAATACATCTGCAGCATCTTATTAGAATCCTTTGGCATTGCCCTTGTAGAAGATAAAAGGGAGAATCCAGACTTTAGATACCTCTTTCTTGTTCATCATGTGACATGACTCTGGCCGGGGAAACCAATTAAAGTAACTCTTTTATCATAGCCATGATCTTCTTGGACGTCTTTTGTGTAGAGTGGTTTGGATTTAACTCTTGCAAGAGACAGAATGTAGATGAGATCAGCAGCTAATTACTCACTTTGAAAATACTCGTATTGCCAGTTGAAAAGATGGCTTTTTTAATGGCTTCCACCTCCTGTAAATAGACTTAACTTCATGTCAATTAAGTGTTAAAACAAACTTGGTTAGACTAAGCCTTTCCTCAGTCTTTCTGGTTTTGGGAGAAGCATGAGCTCTGTTTCACTTCTGTATATACCTCTTTCCAGTCATCATATCCCACATAGAAATTGAATTGAAATGTGGGGTGTGCAGCAGAGGATGGGGGAATTGGCAGAGCTGACAGTGCCCTTCCTTGCTCTGCTCTCCTGCAGTTGCACAACCATTTTTGTGCAAGTCCCTGAGAGGTGTGTACTCCCTGCCTTACCTGGGGCAGCCACCGACCAAGGCTGCAGAGGCCCTGAGCCGTGCTGAGTGGTGGGAGCTGCTCTTCTTCGTGAAGAAGCTGGAAGCACAGGAGCAGAAAGAGATCGCCTTTCTCATCCAGCAGGACCAGGGAGAGCAGGTATAGGCCAGTGCCTGCAGTGGGGAAATGGGAGGGAGAGAGCAAGGGAGAACATAAGGGAGAGGATGAGGACCGGCGGAGATGGCAAACATGAGTTATACAGGGACAGCCTGAACGGGGCAGAAATGGGAGGGTGAGTGGGGATGGCAAAACCACAGGGAGCTTGTCCCAGCAAAGCTGTGAGGGGAGATGAGAGGAAACGCAGTCTCTCATGACTGGAAGAGTGACTGTCCAGTGAGGTTTGGGTAGGTGAGGCAGGGCCATGGGGTCATTGTGCCGGTTGCAGTTGGGTGGGGAGTGCAGGTGGGAGGTCTGGGCTGGTGGCAGTTGGTTTGGAGACAGCCAGGGTGGCACAGGGAGAAGGCCCTGGGGACCCCCAGTGGTGCAGCCTTTCCATCAGTTCTGCCACTGGCTGTCACAAAGGGCATGAGGTCTGTGGCAAGTCCAAGATTAACTTGAGGCCGTTGGTCTGGCTGTTGAAGGTGGATGAAGAAGCCCTAATCCAGCTGTCGGTGCCTGTGGAGCTGGCCCAGAAGGTGCTGCAGGTCTTGGAGAAGCGGTGCCAGGGCAGCACTCTGCGTGACCTGCGTGGCTCCCGTGTCTATGCCAGATACTTCCTCATTAGGGGGGCTGAGCAGGATGGTGGGGGGAGCACCGCAGTGTCCTCAGAGGGCAGTGGCTGCAAGAACATTGGCTGTGAAGCCACGATGGTCAAGTCAGCAAAGGAAGACCTTTCTGCAGCCACAGCGCCGCCCCAAGCCCCGAGTGTGGCAGTGAAGTCCGATTCCCAGCTGTTCAGCGAGCTCTTTGAGAGGGAAGGGCTGTTGTTCCCAGAGGTGACAGAGGAGCAGATCAAAGGTAATGTCCTGCCACGTGCTGGGGCACACGCATGGTGCTGGAAGTGGCACCGTTGCCTCAAGAGAGGAAGGTTGTGGGCAGGGTATGGGGGCCAGGCAGCTGGTGGGGGGCCTGTGGGTGCTGGTTTTGTGGGTGCACGGCACCCTGGGAGCTGCTGGGGGTGTTATTGCTGCCCTGATGCCTCCTTCCCTCCGGCCAGTGTTGGGCAGCCCCAAAGGGGTGAGCGAGAGCGGCTCGGTGGCCGAGATTGCAGCCACGGTGGACGTGATCCAGAGCAGCAGCTCAGCGGTGGGGCTGCGCTTAGCTGGGCTCAAGCAAATCTTGAAGATCCTGGAGGAGGAACCTGAGTCCGAGCAGCAAGTTGGCACAGCCCAGGGCAGGCTGGGGACCGGGAGCGCTGGGTGAGCCGTGGGGTGCTGCACATCCCTCCTGGTGCCTGGGGAGGGCTGTGTTGGCATGGTGGGGGACAGTCCTGGAGCTAGGAGTACAGGAGGTGGCAGTGGGAGTGGGAAGGCCGGTATGTCCCTGCGTGCTTGGCAAGAGAAGAGTGGATTTTGTGTCCCTTTGTCCCAGGCAGGCTCGTTCCTTGGGCTGACCCAGCTGCAGCAGAGCCGTGTGGGCAGAGAGGAGGTGGCTGGCAGGGCCCAAGGTGCTGGCGTGCCAGCAGCAGCGCCAGGAGGCTCCTCCTGAGGTATCCTTTCCCGAGCAGGGAGAAGCTGGTGCAGGTGGCAGTGGAGCTGCTGAGCACTGAGGTGGCAGAGAAGGCGCTGGTGGCGGTGACGCTGCGGCTGCTGGCCGTGCTGATGGCGCAGTATGACTGGCGTGTGCCGTTTGCCACGGAGGGCGGCGTGCGGGCCGTGCTGGCCTGCATGCAGCAGCACAGCTCCTCCGCCCTGGTGCAGCAGGCTGGCCTGGCGGTGAGTGGCACAGGGCATGCTGTATGTGGGCAGGCATTGTGCAGGCTCACCCAGGTGTGGTGGAGATGCCTGCTGCCCT